AGAGCCTTAGAATCCTTGCCTCCAAGGAGCAGCCCGGTTTGACCCTTTCCAGGATGAATCTGTTTGTTTTCCTAGCAGTCCATGGTACCCTCAATACTCTTCTCCAGCCCCACAGCTCAAAGGCATAAATTCTCCTTAGTCATTGTCCAACTCTGATGCATAACAAGTGATAGCAAAGACCATGGCCTGTATCAGACACACCTTAGTCTCCAAAGAGACACTATTGCTCTTCACAGAATTTATTCATTAGTGTAAAATAATTCTTTATTAACTGTGCCATCACATAGTTAACCATGAATTCTTACATCTTACTATATTCATTAGAGTAATAGATATGTGAATATATTTTTAAATAGTAACAGATTACAAAAAGTAAGTCAAACACTTTTTAACTCAAAAGACTTGTACTTCTCTAACAAATAAATGTTGTGTTTTAGTGGAATTGAAGTGTTGAGTTAGAAGTAAACCTGACACCATCACGACTGTATAAGTCCTTAAAGAAAGGATATTGTCAAAGGTTCAGTGTTTCTATGGATACTGGGAGGCTATTATGAGTCACTGAACACCAATTAAACTTAGAACTAAGGCCAAGCATAACTGATATCAAGTGCAGCACCACTTGAAAGCTGCCCAGACCAGTGATGAGATGTGTTAAGAGCAGTTCAAGTATATTAGATCTGAAGAAAATAATTTCATGACGCATAAGAGATATAACTAGGACATTATAAATACTTCTCATTTATCACATCAGCTTTTTAAGTTACTTGGAGACAGTATTTTTCACAAAGAGAGTGATACTACCTGATACCAATCACTGATACCGATTTTGCAAGACTCATAGCCCTTTTTACCAAATATGTCTCAATAACTGAAGTTCAAAATTACTTGGCCCAAGTTCCTTATCTGGTTCACTTCTTTATAGTAATTTAACTTTTTACTTTCAATGGTATACAGGGAGCTCTGATAGAATACTTTATAAGGCCACCCCCTCTCTCTGGTAGTTCAAACCACCAGAAACTGAGGGAGAAATATGGGCATCTCTCAGTGCAATGTTTAGCCTCAAAAAAACAACTGAGGATTAGCAATAAGTTGGTTCCCTATCACTGGCAATGAGTGACACAATTCAGTTTCTAGGGAAAGAAACAATCTTTGTCTCTGAGCAGTGTTTGCATCTGTAATACATCTTAATTTAGTTTCTCTGAATTTCCCAAATATACTCTTGTCTTAGGAAACATTTTTTCCCTAGAAAATGTCTTGACTCACAAACTTAACTTCCTAAATGTTTGTTATCTTGTTGTCATGATCTTTGTGTGTAATTTATACCCTACTGATTACTTTTTTCTAGTCTTTATATTGAGTACAGGGAGTTCTGAGGGCATGGTCTGTAGGAAGTTGCACTGCTAATTCAAAGGCAGTCCTTCTCTGGCCATTCAGACCCATCAAGGACTCTATGGGACAAAATCTGCTGGAGGGTCAGCTATGAGTTGGTTTTGATTCCACAGCAATGAGTTTTGCATAGAACACATTCTGTTTATATTCTTTTTTTTAGGAACAATGGACCTGCCATTTAGCCAATCAATATCTGTTTTTGGAGGCTACAGATCAAACCATGACACATGTTAAAAAAAGACATGGGAAGAATTTTCACAGAGAAAGATAAATGGATGGCCAACAGACACATGAAAAAAAATGCTCAATATCACTAGAAATAAGAGAGATGCAAATAAAAACTAAAACGAGGTACCATCCTGCTTCAGTAGCACTAGCAAAGTTTAAAGAGACAGCACGTAATAAATGTTGGAGAGGATGTGGCGAGATAGGAACTCTTATACACTGTTGGTGTAAAATGGTACAATCAATCTGGAAAGCAATTTGGTATTTCCTCAGAAAGTTGAGCACAGACATTCCATATGATCAAGCTATTCCACTGCTTGGAATATATCCTAAGAAAATGAGAACTGAAGCAATAATGGAGACATATATCAATTCTCATAGCAGCATTATTCACCCTCACAAGAACATGGAAAGAGACCAAATGTTCAACCACAATGGAATGGATTAAGAAATTATTGTATGTTCACACATGGAATACTCTGCAGCACACAGGAAAATGATTTTGTAAATCACTACCCAATTTGGGAGGGACTGGAGAGCATTATGCTAAGTGAACTATCTTGGTCCCATAAGGACAAATACTGTGTAAGAAAGGCCATTATTGTAGAAATAGATAACTAGTAAGATGTGTATGCAAGTCCAGGGGTGAGAATAATTATAGAATCACACAATTTGAAATGGGAAATATCTGGTGTGAAAAGCAGCAATGTATATGAATTTTGGGAGTAAACTAGTATAAAGAAAAAAAAATAAGAAATTCTAATGACAGAACCTAAACAATGAAAATGTTATATCTTTTTGGATAATGTTGGTAGAATGAGTATTTCAAGCAAGGATGGATTAGGTCATCTCATTAGGATTTAGATGAAGGAGTACTATTCTATAGGGAGAAAGAATATTCTTAAATAATAAATTCTTTCATAATAATTAAGAGCTTATCATCTAATACCATTAACCAATACAAACAAGAAGAAACATAAAAGCCCAAATAAAAATTAATTTGGAGCAAGATCTTCAATAAATTTGTTAGATTTTTAGTCCAATAGTAAAACTTCTATAGGAGTGAAGAATGTGCACTATTATACTAGTTTCTAAAATTAAAAAATCAAAACCATAAGGGTCATAGCTTTCTAGATGATACACAGTGGAGTCAGATGTTAATTATTAATGCCAAGATAGCTACAGAAATTTCTGCTGTAATTTATAGTGTGGGGAAAAATTCTTAGTATCGACATGTGAAAGTTTTAATAATGCAGGAATTTAAGTTATTAGTATTAATAAACACAGTAAAAAATTAAAAATAATTGCATTTTCATTTAAAAATACAATACTTATTAAATTTCTATAAACATAGAACCTGTACAAGAAGGTAAACTGTAGCATAACCTCTTGTGAGTAAATTCACTACTTTAAGATCATCTTTTAGGATATTGTTGTTAGGTAATATCAAGTCAGAGTCAAATAATAGCTGACCCTCCAGTGGGTTTTCAGAGACATCTGATCTGATGACCTAATGGTAAAAAACTGTGCTGCAATATCAAAAACACACAGTTCATAGCAACCAGCTGCTCTGCAGACAATCTCCTCCTGTGCAATTTACTGTCTCTGAAAACTCACTGGTGGGTCAGTTATGAGTCAGTTCCGACTCGATGGTTAAAAACAACAACAAATTGCCTCGTAGGAGAATTGCTCATCTTTCACCCTTGGAGCAGCTAGTGGTTTTGAACTGTATGTCCATGGGCTGGCAGTGCAACTCCTTACCACTAGATCATCAGTGCTTTCTTTAGGATATTACAGATAAAAAGAAACTAGTTTAGGAGCCAAATACCACCGTTACATACGTTATTGCTATATTAAGACATTTTTCTCATACTTTACTATATCTGATATGAAAGTCTTTGCTGTGTAGTGCTGCTGCTCTGATGGGGATGTTACAAGCGAACGGTTTTAACAAGAACAGCAAAAATATTCTCTTACAGTTTATGAGGATAGATGCCCAAATACAAGGTTCTAGCGACAGCGGAAGACTTTCTTACTGTGCGTCTTCTGGTTTCAGGAATGTCACAGCACAGGACCTGAGTCCAGAGGGCAAGATCCATTCCAAGCTTTTCTTTCTTGGTGATTCCCTTCTCTCTAGTCACTTTCCTCTCCTTTTATCTCTTGTAAGATAAAAGGTGTTACAGAACATATCCCAGGGAAATTCTCCTTACAATGGAGTCGGTATTATATTGCAACCTTAATCCTTTTAGCAATAAGGATATTGCTTCCCATTCTTAATTCCTTTACAACTATGTTGTTGGTGTTATGTGTCATCAAATCAAATGGAACTCATAGAGACCTTATGCACAATAGCTATGAACCTTGCACTATCTGCCAATCTTTGTTACACTTATTCCCATTACCCTAGTTACTGAGTCAATTCATTACGTCCTGGGTTTTCCTCTCCTGCACTGCTCCTCTACCCTTCCAAACTGATGTCCTCCTCCAAGGACAGGTCCCACCTGGAAACATGCCCAAAGTATATCAGATATAGTTTCAAAATGCTTGCCTCCAAGGCGTAACTTGGTTTTACCTTCTCCAGGACAAACTTAATTGTTCTCTTGGCAGGCCATGTTCAATACTTTTCTCCAGCACCACAACTCAAAGGTATCAATTCTTCATCTGTCACCAGTCATCATCCAGCTCTCTGATACATAGCAAGTAATTGCAAAGATCATTGCCTGGATCAGGCATCCCTTAGTCTGTAGACTGACATCATCACTCTTCAGCTGATTTCCCTTTGCTGGTGCCAAAAGTATTGATAGTGGAACCAAACAAGCTGAAATTGTTAACAATTTCAATCTCTTCCCCATCTCTCATGGTGCTGCCAATAGGTCCAGTAATGAGAACCTTTGTCTTCTGATAGTTTAGCAAATCATGAAGTACCATTACACACACCTTCTACATTATTTCATTATGCACACACATTTTGGGGAACACAATTCAAGTCATAATGGGTACTATAAGGTATATCTTTCACTTAATTTACATCTATAATATAATACATATTAAGATACTTTATTGTACATAAAATAATGACATTAGGAGACTGGGGCTCTTAACAGAATAATGGTTAATATTCTGTAGCAGAGTTGGGCAAGTTTTGCTGCAAAATAGTGAAAGTTTTAGGTTTTGCAGGTTATGCACTCTCTATTATAACCACTTAATCCTGACACTGCAGTTTAAAAGCACTGTAGAAAAATAATTGTGACTGTGTTCTCAGACAACTTCATTTATAAAACATACAGTGAATGGAAAAGGCTTGAAGGCCAACTTGCTGACCCTAGAACTATCAGACTTCTGTATTTTCTCTATCTGATGCAATTTATAAATATCCACAAACATACCTTTTCCCCAGGAACTCCAGGAGCACCAAATTCACCTTTAGGACCAACTGCACCCTAAAATGTAGAAATAATCATTAGGAGACCCTTTTTTAGATGCACCAACCACTAATATGATCATCAAAGAACATCTTCCATTTACAGATGAGCTGCTTTGGCTTACACCGATATTTATAACTCAAGTTCCCAGGCATCCTCAAAAGCCATTAAACTATACTTCTGAATATTAGATTCATTCATCAGCCCATAAACATCAAAGTGTTATTTAGAATTAGACAATCTTCATTTAACTTAGTGATTTCTTTCATGTTCATCCAACATAAGCAATTAATTTAATGACACAATAAAAAATTAAAAAATAACAGGAAAGAAGAACTTAAATTAGTTCAAAGGTAACTATAGTTGCATTTAGTATGACTGAACTTCAATTATGTCCTCAAGGTAAACAGCCAAAGCTGCATTAATCCAACCAAGCCTTCCTGCTTTTCCACTTAAACTTCAGAGTAAGAGTGAAAAAAAAAATCTCCTTATGACGTGATCTATGGCTATCCTGACAGATGGCTCTATCACAAACTCAGCCTAATATAAAATCTGTGAAATAACAGTAAATGATATAATTTTTAAATTAATTTCTCTAAAACTAATGTTAGCTGGTTGTTGATGTGTGTTGTCAAGTCAGAACCAACCCACAGCTGACCCTCCTGTGGGTTTTCAGAGGCAGTGAATGGCATGGGAGGAGACTGTCAATCCTTCTCTTGCAGACTTATTCGTTCTCTTATCAGTTCAATATTTTTCTCCAGCATTATAACTCAAACACACTGATACTTGCTCTGTCATCCTTAGTCATTTTCCAGCTCTCAGATGCATAACAAGTAATTGAAAAGATCATAATCTAGAAAGGTGCATCTTAGTCTATAGGTGGATATTGTTGCTCTTCAACACTGGAGAGGTCACTGACATCAGACTTGCCTAAAACAACTCATCTTTTAATTTCCTGACTGCTGGTACAAACCAAAAATGTTTGAATGATTGAGGATCCAAGCAAGATGAAATCATTAACAACCTCAGTCTTTCTCATCTATAATGATACTGCCTATTGGCCCAGTGGTGAGGATCTTTGTTTGATTCATATTGAGATGCAATCCACATTGGAGGTTGCAACCATTAACATTCTGCAAAAAGCACTTCAAGTTTTCTTCTATTTCAGCCAGTGAGGTGTGTCAACTGCATAATACAAGTTGTTCATTAGTCTTCCTCCAATCCTGATGCCACTTTCTTTTTCATAAATTTCAGCCACCTAAATTATCTGCTCAGTTTATAGATTGAAAAGGTGTGGAGAAAGGATATATCGCTGATGCATTCCTTTCTTGATGTGGAACCACATACTTCTTCCTTGCTGTGTTTGGACAACAGCTTCCTGGCCTAAGTATAGGTTTTGCATGAACACAATCAAGTATTCTGGGATTCTCATTCTTCTCAATGTTCATCATACTTTTTTGTGATCCACACAGTCAAATGTGTTTGTATAGTTAATAAAACACAAATAGATATCCTTCTGGTACTCTCTGCTTTCATCCAAGATCAATCTGACATCAGCAATGATATCTCTAGTGTCATGGCCTCTTGGAAACCCAGCTGTATCTCTGGTAGTTCTCTGCCAATATACTGATGCAGTTGGTTTTGGATAATATCAGCAAGATTATGCTTGCATGTGATATTAGTGATATTGTTTCATAATGTTCACATTCGTTCGGATAATCATTTTTGGAAATGGGAATAAAATAGAACTCTTCCAGGCAGTTGGCCAGGTAGTTGTCCTCCAGATTTCTTGGTGCAACATAGTAAACAAACCCACAGCTGCATCTGAAAGCTAGAAAATGACTAAGTACTACAGAAGAATAGATGCCTTTGAATTGTGATTCTGGAGAAGAGTATTGAATATACCATAGACTACCAAGAGATCAAACATGTCTGTCTGGGGAGGGTGAAATCATATTACTCCTTGAAGGCAAAGATTTACAAGCTCCATCTCACATATTTTGATCATGTTTCCATAAAGGACCAGTCCTTGGGGAAAGACATCATGCCTGGGAAAATGGAGGTTCAGCACAAGAGTGGAAGACCCTGGATAAGATGGATTGACACAGTGACTGTGGCAATGGGGTCATGTGTGTCAAAGGTGGTGAAGTTGCCTCAAGACAGCACAAAGTTCAGAGGCATTGTTCATAAGGTCACTAGAGTCAGAGTCAATAACATTATTCTATCAGTACTGCTTGAATAAAAAATAAGTATAGTCTCTATTCCTTTCAGGCACTATGTACTCAATAATCAGTTTTTTTACCATCCTGAGCTGTCCATGCAGTACTAGGAAACATAAGAAAAGCCTATGACTACTGATTATTGAAAGGTTGCCATTTATCAAGTGCTTAGCATATTATAGGCACTTAATGCTAAGCTTGAGTTACTTGATTTACATTATTTCATTTGATCCTTCAAAATTCCCGTGTGAAAGGCAGTGCTCTTTCCATTTGCTAGAATAAAAAAGGCTAAATATATTGTTTCAAATCATTCACCTCTTGGTTGGTGAGAGCATAATTTAAACCAAAGTGTATATCCATAATCTTCAAGATTAGTTTTCCTTAGAATGGTAATCTTGTTGACCACAATTTAAGGAGAAAGTATCTACCCCTGTCACATTTCTTTCTTAATTTTGAATCATACACTGTTCCCTTGCTCTGTTTGAACAACATCTTCCTGGTCTTGGTATAGGTTTCACATGAGCAAAGTCAAATGTTCTGGGTTTCTCGTTCTTCTTATTGTTAGTCACAATTTACAGTGATCCACAGAGTCAAATGTGTTTACATAATTGATAAAACAAAAATAGACATCTTGCTGGTATGCTCTGCTTTCAACCAAGATCCAGCTGATATCAGCAAAAATTAGAATGTGGAATGTATACAATATGAATATAGAAAATTGGACATTGTTAAAAATACCTGAATGTTGTTGTTGTTGTTATGTGTCATCAAGTCACATGTGGCTCATAGCAACCCTAAGTACAATAGCTTTGAACCCTAGCTATCATGAGCCAATCTCATTGTCTCTGATACATTTACCCTTATCAGTCAATCAGCTGCATCCAGGGTCTTCCTCTTTTCCATAGTCCCTCCATCCATCCAAGCATCATGTTCTTCTCCAAGGACTGGTCCTTTCTGGAAATATGCCCAAAATATGTAGGATGGAGCTTCAGAATCCTTGCCTCCAAGGAGCAGTTGGTTTTACCCTCTCCAAGACAGACCTGTTTGTTCTCTTGGTAGTCAATGGTATGTCACTACTCTTCTCCAGGATCACAGGTCAAAGGCATCAATTCTTCTATAATCTTTAATCATTGTCCAGCTCCCTGTTACATAGCAAGTAATTGTGAAGACCACATGGCCTGGATCAGGAGTACCTTTATCTCCAGACTGACATTATTGCTTTTCATAAATATTGATAAGCTGAAATGGATTGAAATGGGCAAGTTTAAATAAGACAATCATATGATCTACTATGCTGGGAGAAATAAGTGAAGGGGAAAAAATGGAATTGAATTCATAGTTCAAAAGACCACTTCTACATCCATCCTACTTTTGTGAGTGAAAGGATGCTATTTATACACTTAAAAGGAAAACCTGTTGATACCAATGACATTCAAATATAGCACCAACAACTAAAGCCAAAGAGAAGGAAATAGATTTCTACTGGCTTTTGCAGTTTGAAATAGATTAAATTTTCAACCAAGATTCACTAATAATAATTGTCATCTGGAATGCAAACATTGGGAACAAGGAAGAAAGATTTGTGGTTAGAAAATATGGCTTGGTGACAGAAATGATACTGGAGATAGAATGATAGAATTTCATACAATCAATGATTATAAAAAATACAAATGAACACTATACCGATGGACTTCATCTGATGGACTACACAGGAATTAGATTGATTACATCTGTGAAAAAAATCATTGAAGAAGCACAATATCAGTTTTGAAAACCAGGCCAGGTGCTGACGTTGGAACAGATCATAAACTGTACATGTGCAAGTTCAAATTGAAGCCAAAGAAACTTAAATCCACAAGAAGTAAAATATGACCCTAAGTCCATCCTACTTGAATTAAAAACTATCTCAAGAACAGGTTTAAACTGGACTGCTACCTGCCAAAAGCTGAAAGTGGATCCACATCTCACATACACAACAATCACCTCAATGTGGATCAGAGACTTGCAAAACCATACTGTTCATTAGAGACAAACTGGGATCAAGCTTAGAAAGCCTAGACTATGGTATAAAGAGACTGACAAATACAGGCAGAAATGTACAATCTGAAGAGGATAAAATCGATGCATGGGACCGTCTAAAGATTAAGTCCCTGTGTGCGTGAAAAACTTTCCCACAGTGTGAAAAGAATACTTGCCAACTGGGAACAAACATTTGAAAATACCACGTCAGACAAGAGTATCATAATGAAAGTTTACAGGATACTCTTGGGTCTCCACAAGAAAAAGTTTGATAATCCAAAGACAAAATGGGCAAAAGTCATGGAAAGACTTTTCACAGAGGAAGAGAATTCAAATGCCCAACAGACATATGAAGAAATGATCCAAATCACTGGCAAAAAGAGAAATGGAAATCATAACCACAATGAGAAACCATCTCATTCCAGTAGGAGCGGCAAAGTTTAACAGGACAGCAAGTAAGAAATATTGGAGACAATGTGGCCAGATAAGAACTCTTATACACTGTTAGTGGCACTATAAAATGATACAACCACTCTGGAAAGCAGTTTGGTGCTTCCTCAAAAGGCTCAACATAGAAATTCCATATGACCCAGCTGTTCCATAGCTTGCAATATACCCCAAGAAAATGAGAACTGAGGCTCAAACAGAAACTTGTAGACTAATGTTCACATCAGCATTATTTACCATTGCAAGAATGTGGAAATTGCCCAGATGTCCCACCACAAACAAATGGATTGAAAAGTTGTGGTACATTCACACAATGGAATACTATGCAGCAAT